TGGGTTGGGGGCTGCCAGCAGCCCCATGCTGAGCAGCCGCAGCCTGCAGTGCTCTGCAGCATCCGTCCTCCGTCAGCACCGAGCTGGGGTGGGACCAGCTGGGAACCGGCTGGATGGAGGTGCTGGGGACGGGGACACGGGCAGCAGATGTGGCCTCCCAGGAATGTTGGGAATGGCTCTTCGGGGAAAACAGCCACTTCCCATCAGCTGCATCCGCTGGGAAGCGGTGGGGGAAATTCCCGGCAGGGAGCAGGAGGCCAAAGCTTGTCCCCAGCGCATGTGCCCTGTTTTGGGTGTGCACAAGGGAGGGCTCAGCCATTCCCCCAGTAGTGCTGAGCCTTGCGGAGGGCATTTCTGCCTGGCTTTTTGCTCCATGAGCCACCAACACGGCCGTTATCCTGGGGTCCTGGGCTTGGGAATACCCTAGGACAGGTCCCCAGCGCACTCGGGGTCCCTGTACCCGCCACCCTCCTGGCTCGGGGGCCCCACGGCGATGCCAGCCGGCTTCTCCCTGGCAGCTGCACCGTCCCGCTTGGCATGGGCAGGATGGCTGCTGAGCTCGTTAGGCACAGGTGTGGGATTAGCCCTAATTGCCTGCACTTTGATGGCCATAACCTCCTCCCTGAGGGAGACTCGTTACCTGCAGCAAACCTGCGCCTGGCATCTGGCTGCTAATCCCGGGATTAGTAGGTGCAGGGAGAGCGGCAGATGGAGCCTGGCCAGTCCAGAACCCCCAGGGCGCAGCACTGCCAGTGGGCTGGGCACCATTTGGGCTGCCCAGGACCCCAGGAGGTCACCAAGGCAGCTGGGTCCGCAGTGAGGTCACCTCTGAGTTGCTCGGTTGCTCCTAGGGGAATTCCCACCCAGGATCTCCCCTGCGATGTCATCCCCTCTGGGGCCCCCGGGGAAAGCCCCTGTGCACGCCCTTTGAGGTGACTCAAGAGAAAGGAGAAGTGTCCCCTGCTCCCCGTGGCAGCCCTTCCCAGTTGCAGGAAGAGCCTTTTCTGGGAACCCAGGAACCTCCCTGTGCGGGCCAGGGGTGTGGTGGGGTGCAGGCACCCGACGGGGCTGGGCTGGGAGGCTCTTCCCCGGGGGCAGCCAGCACTGATGGTCACGTTGCTGGACCCAAGGGGACCTCCAAGCCCTCCCAGCATGGCTGGGAGCCCAAAAACTGAGGCCAGGGTGTCTGCAGCTCAGCCAGCCCCCAGTTGGGTCACCCTGCGGGGGGGCGGGCGGACTCGGTTGTCCCAGGGCTGCCTGCTCTGCCCGGCTGCTTCTTGCTCCCAAAAATTTCTGCAGTGCACTCAGGCTGAGCAAAGGGGAGGGGAGAAAGCTGTGGGGAAGGAGAGAAGGAAACGGCCGCAAGTCTCCATCCTGAGCCCCCCCCCAAAGCCGGCTCCCTTGTCCCTGCAGGCAGCTGCCCTCCTCCTGCCTGTGCGGCTGCACGGGGTCCCAGCCAGGCTGGGGGAGGAAAAGGGGGGTCCTGCTGGGAGCTGCACCCAGGGCTCGGTGTTGGGGGGGGTTTCTGCCCTCCACGTCCCAGCCGGCTCCCACCATCCTGCAGGCTGAGAGCCCTGTGGCTGCGTGCTAACCTCAGGGTCCCTGCTCAATGGGAGGAAGGAAATCCTCATCCTCGGGAAAGGCTGGACACGGCCGTTTCCTCCTGCCGTGGTGGGGAGGGGGCCAGGGGCCAGGCACACACGCCCGCCGCGCC